AATGCTGAACAAAAACAATTAAGGGACGCTGTCTTGGAGAATAGAACCGCTATTGATTATCTCTTATTATGACACAATCTTGGGTGTGAAGTTTTAAAAGGAATGTGTTGTTTCAACCTCACCGATAATTCTGTGCTGATTGAAGACAAAATTGGTGCCTTACAACAATTGGCATAGCTGTTAAAAGAATCAACTGGCTTAGACTTTTCCTGGTTAAATTCCTGGCTTCCCAATTTTGGATGGTTGAGACAGTTATTTAGTATAGTTGTCTTTTTCTGTATTATGGGAATCATGGTTTGCTGCTGTATCCAATGGCTTACCTGTTTTATATCTATCTTCAGGCCTAAGGTAAATCAAATGATTTTACAAACAAAGAAAGCTGATGATACTAGATTTGTGTTAAACCAAATTGAATGGAGCAATTATAATAATACTTAAAAATGCTCCAAAGGGGGGAAATGTAAGGCGGGACCTAGAAACCTCTACTCGGAGACAATAAGAAGAAGAGAATGCTATGTGAAAAATGCCCATCTGCAATGATAAGGAGGAGACAGTCTCGGATAAAGGGGGCTTGAAAACAAAAGACGAAAGAGTACTGGGTTAAAGGGCTCATTAAAATACTAAAAATCACACCCCTAGGTGGGGAAAAAGTATGCTAATGAAACACATGTATGTAAATGAGATACACGGCTTTTGCATACCGGGCACGATCCCAGACTTGAGCTGGGGCTCAACAAGAGCACTGCAAGGTGGATAGAAAACTGGCTAGATCATCAGGCTCAAAGGGTAGTAATCAATGCCTTGATATCTAATTGGTAGCCGGAATCAAGCAGATACCCCATGGGTCAGTCCTGGGCAGAGATGTGGAACAGAAAATTTTCCAGTGCTTTATTTTTCCATGGGAAATTTTCCATTTTTTAAAATTCATCATTTCAGAAAATTCATTAGTAACAAGTAATGGATGCCAATACAATATTAGGCAAGCTTAGCAGTTTCAAAGTCGTAATTAATGTTTTTCAGCTAATTATCCCAAGGAAGTGAGAGTCTTTTATTGATTTGTAGACAAGAGGGTAAATACACTGACATACTAATCCAGACCAAAAATCAAGTTATGAATTCACCTAATTGGCTGTGCAGGTCAAATCAAAACCAAAGCATGACATATCATGCACAGTTCTTTGGGTGTGCTAAAATTAGTGTGTCAACCAGCTGATAAAAAGATTTCACAGATGCAAGAGGGGAAGTCTTTATGAGACTATCAGATTCCTTCACACACTTCTGCGCTTGTGCTCTAGTCATTTGCTGTCTCATCATCACTTTTGTTACAAGCTGGCCTTAATATAGGAGACCTGTGAGTAGAAAGGCAGGAGAGAAGATGGCCACTTTATAAAGATATGTTCAGCTTTCAGTAAAATCCTATGAAACTATTAATACAGTTAAATGTTAGAAGAACAACATTCAGCTTTTGGAAGCCCTCTGGCTGAATAGTGAATAATAATGAATGAATAATTTTACATTTGATCTTCCAGTTACAGTCGGTTATTTATGGAAATTGGAACCAATGTTTCCAGACTGAAATTAATTTTCAAGCTGATGCCTCTAAAATCTCTTCTAAATGAAAATACTTGTGTATACCTAGTGTTTACTAAAGAACAAAAAAAAAAAAAATTTAGTGTTTACTAAAAAACAAAAAAAAAAAAAAATTAAAAAGCAGAAAAGAATTCATGACATTCCACCCCCACAATCAGTATAAAGTTCAAATAAATTTGTCTTTTCAGTTTTTAAATCTGGGTTTGTCTTTCAATAAGGGAAAAAGAATATTTAAAAAATTGGGAGAAAACGTTTAGTCAGTTCCAGTATTTATCATGATTTTCACTCTACTCATAAGGATATTTGTAACGATTTGAGAAAAAGTATTAAGACATAACAGATATGGAATATACATACCAACTCTTTTTTCTAGCAGGTTTCCTTGCTGCGCTAACTTGATAGCATGAATATAGCCAAAGGAGGACTCATATCCTAGCATTTCACAATAAATAAGTCTCACCATACATTCTTTCATCAGTCTCTGAAATACCAAAAATGAAATGTTAAGAATATTAGACTAGCTGCGAGTGTTGTTTTCCACTTCACTGCTCTAATGAACTCAAGTAACAGATGTTGACATGACAGATAAAAACCAGTATCTATCCTATAATAAAAATTTAACATTTCTGAACTCTCTTCTTTCAAAATAAGGTGAACTAATACTGCTAATGTTTCATAATAACTGAAAATTAAATTACAGCAGAACTCCATCATATTGCATACATAAAGATCACATTATCTGATTACAACTAGCATCTGTTCAATCAATACCAAAATTAATTATGACCATAATGGATATTAAAAAATATACCACAGGAACTGTCCAAAGATAGGACAACCACACCCACGAAACCACAAAATATTTCAAAATCACTTATTTTATTATCTATGAGAGGAAAGGGGTCAGTGCAACCACAAACAGTAGGGGCCCATTATTATTATTTTATTACTATTATTTAGGATTTAGATACCTCCCTGTCATCTAAAAGGCTAAGTGGCTTACAGTAAGAGAAAAATAAACCACAGACACGAAACAAAATTAGACTCCCCAAATAAAATAATGCCTCCATCATAAGCTTTACAAAGTAGTGGTTCACACTATGTAAAAGGCAGTAAGAAATGACAAATTAAATATAGCTCTGTAACATGAAACTGTACTAAAAGGCCCCGTGCTAAAACATACATACAGTGGCAGTGTATGCTACTGTAAAGAGAGAACTGTTTTAAGTGCAGCAGCTTCACAGACTTGCGCTTGAGAGCTGTAACAATTGGTTTACTACGCTGCTATACTGCACTATAGCCTATGGCAGGCAACCTGGCAGATGAGACCCCCAATACTTTGAGGTGACATAAATAAGCATGAACTAGGCAAGCAGACAATTTGCATCTTTACTGATCTGCAATACAAAGCCCGATTTTCCTGTCTATGTTAAGGGTATGAACAAAAGTACATCTGAAGCCGTTTCAAAAGGGCAGCAGCTGTTATGTTCTAATTGTTATGTGGGGACAAGCTGGGAATAATACAAATGTAGCAAAACCACCTCAGTTACAACACTTTTCCTCCAACTGCTGCTGCCTTGTTGAAACACTCCTCTTTTGAAACAGCTTCAAATGTGTGAATCCATACCCTAAAAGTGCAATACAGGCAACCCCCACTTAGCGCTCTTAACTGGTTCCCAAAAAAACCCAGTGTTAAGCGGAACAGTGTTAAGTGAAACCCACTTTCCCACAGGAATTAATGTAAATAAATACAATTTACCAAGGTGCCCAGCAGCAGCGACTTGACCACCTGGTAGCACAGGACCAGCTTTGCTGTCACCATGCCATTGCTACCCGCCAGGGCCACAGAGTCGGCGCTGTTGGTGTCCTTCCATGCCAGGAAGTGGGGTGGGGGCAGGGGGGCAGTAACAGCCACAGCCACGACCACGGCCACTCCAGGTGGCGGGAGTGGGACGCAGCATCCAGGGCTCCCCAGAGCGAGTCACAGCGCGAGTCATAGCCTTGCTGCACCTGGCCTGGGTGCAGGCAGGCTAAATTGCACAAAGAGGTTGTAGGCTACCAATGTGCTGTGGTGCTGGTATATGCTCCCTGCTTGATGCCCACAAGCATTATAAAGAAGCTCACTGAGCACTAAGTGGAATCAGGTATGAATTTAAAATGAGTGTTATAGCAAAATAGTGCTAAGCAAAGCAGTGTTAAGCAGGGGTTGCCTATATAGAATGATCATATTCAGAGGACAATGGTGACAAAACTTCTAAACAAGAACAATTCTAGACGAGCACAACCACACCAGTGGTGCTCTCTCTGGTTCAACACCAGAACAAAAACTTGGGCGTGGACATGCAGCTGCATAACAAGTACAGAAGGTTATTTCAGTGGTGCTCATAATACAAAATCTTTCTGGTGTAGACCACGCTCAGAAGTGCACGCTACCTGGCAAACTGTGCACACTGCCATTCTCATTCAGTTTACCATTAAGAAAACCTCTTATGAAACTTACAAGTGTTGTAGTGGGAGCAGAAACTGTTGCTTTCAAGTTGGTTAGTTCCTGCTGGATTAATTTCTCTTCTTCCTATAAAAGATTAAACATTTTTAAAGTTTACATAATTACTATGGTGAAAGAAAGGATAAACAAAACTCAACAATGCAAAGGAAAACCTGTTCAAATTCTCTCAAAATGTTTTACATCAGTGGTTCTCAAACTCTGGCAGATTGCACACCACCAAATTAAAATGATAAAACCTTTAGTACCGCCAGCAAATTCTTGTCATATAATTATAATAAATCTGTTAACGCACACCACTGGTGGTACCCGTACCACAGACTGGGAACTGCTGGAGACTGGGAGAATCTTCCAGTCTCCTTGTTCCCTGTATTAAGATTCCTACCATAAAGCTCTGACATTTCCAGACAACTTTGTTGGCCGTGACAGAGGCTTGGGCCTCATTACAGTGATTGGAAAGGATTAACTGCTAAAACTCCCTGACAATTTATCAGCAGCAAAAGTTGCTCATCCTGGCATGGCCGGTTCCACTTGATGTAATCAGACAGAGCCGCACTGGGCTTTGACGGGGATCGGGGGCCGCTTGCTTCAAGAATGAAATAAACAAAGTAATCAGCTACCTAGGAGGATCAGGAGTTGCCCGACGGCACAGAATGCAAGGTTCTGTGCTTGGGGCAGAACAAGATAATACCCCTGCAGAATCAACATTTGACTAGACAACCCTAAAGACGCTTTACACGTGGCTTTATGGACCATGTTACGAGTGATAAAAAAGGACAAGATGCAGAAGGGCTGGTGGTTTAAAGAACTTTAGAATGAAGATATGGCTACTGACCCCTACTGCTATACGGCTGAGCCGCTGCCGGGCAGTGACCAAAGGTAACCAACTCGCGTGCTCGCAGCGTGCTGCAGCAGGCTGTGTTGCCCATGTTTCTCTAGATTTCGAAGTAACGTTTGATGAGCGGCGCACAGCGCTTCCATGTTCAACCAACGCTACACAACTCCACTGCCCCTGGGAAGTGCCGCGCCTTTTCCTCAATGTCGGCTCAGAGTCTGGCGCGGGGGACACGCGTTGGGGCCCCGCCAGCCAGTCAGCCCAGGAAACAGGCCTCCCCGAGCTGGGCGAGCAGAGGCAGGGCTTGGCCGAGCCACCTCAGCAATTTGCCGAGAAACGTTCCCCCACCACGCCCGTCCGCGACTATTTGGACCAGAGGCAAAGCCCCGCGGA